GTTTCTGGTCTTGCTGGCTTGTCCCCCAGGTACTTCGAAAACCCATCAACCAACCCCCCCCCCCCAATTTTTTCGATTTCTTGTAATGCAAGGAACTAATTCCGATAAAAAAACCCTAGGTGCCTCTTTCTGCAATCTATCCAGACCACGTCTCTTTATCAGCATGGATCTGCTTCTTCGGAACATTACAGTCTGCAGTCGTGACATTCATCATCGAGAAGGATCCGAACGCGTGGTTTTTCCACTCCTACTTCGAGTTCGGAACTTGTCTCTACGCAGTATGCAGAATCTTGCTCTGTTTTTTCTTGTTTTACGCGAACAAAACCTGTCTAAATCTGAAAAAACTGAAAGTTTTCTTGGTAATGATCTGAACTCTCTGATTTTGACTCCGAACAGGGAATTGTGGCGTCAGGGCTTGCGTTCTTCGTTCAATCATGGGCCATTTCGAAGAGAGGTCCTCTGTTTTCTGCGATGTTCAGTCCTTTGTGTACAGTCATTGTCACCATCTTCGCCTCCATGTTCCTACAAGAGGAGATCTACACCGGAAGGTAACATCTGCGTTGGTTTATTTTCATAAACATATATATGATTAAGGTGGCGATTAGCCTAATTACTGTTCATGGTTGGTTGTGTTTTATGTCAGCTTAATAGGTGGGTTAGGAGTGGTAATGGGGCTTTACGTGGTGCTTTGGGGTGAAGGCAAAGGCATGGAACATAGGAGGGAAGACGATGAGAAAACAGAGGTGAAGATTCAGATTGAAGATTCTTCCTCGGACACGACACTATCAGTGTGTAAGATTGATCTGGAGGAACCACTTCTGTCCAAAGACAGTTCCCATTCTACAGGAGAGATCAGAACACAGCATGATATATATAACTAAGATTTTGTTTCTTTCATTATTTTTTTAAAATTTTACATTCTGCACGATTCTATATCTTCTTCTTTTTTCAATTTTAGATAAACAACACTCATTTTTATTGTTATATAGAGATCACCCTAGCGAGACCATATATAATCACAGGGCCTTGAGACATCTTCCAAGGGAGATTATATTTATATGAACCTTACCATATCGGTATCATAATTATTCAAAGTCTAAGGAAAAGAAACACCACAAATGCATAGTAAAAACACCTGTACAAACACAAAAAGAAAAACATCAAAACATAGGAAACAAGATATGGTCATTCGCTCACTCACTCTCTCTCTCTGTGTCCTAATGAAAGAGCTCAAACCACCAGAGAAGAGAGACTCTCTCTCTATCTGTCTTCAAGGCTTGTAACCATAGCTACGACTGTAAGTATCGTCCCTCCTGTTGTTCCTGAAGGCGCAGCATCCGACAGAGTAGACGATGACGAGGAACACGAGGAAGACGATGTTTACGACCGCCACTTTCTTCCAGGCGCTCTTGATGTTGTCGAGCAGACCGGCCTTGCATGATTGGCAGTCGAAACAGAGCTTGTCCGATCTGTTGTCCCACAATGCGCAGTCCGGGTTTGAATGCGTTCCTCCGGTTCTTGTCCAGTTCGTAGGGCTCACGTATGTGAATCCACAGTCGTTGGATGGCTTGCAGCAACCGGACTGTTAATGTAACAACAACAGAGATGGTGAGTTTAACCACATGATTCCATTGCAATCATGATTCTGGAGTTAAAAACAAGAACAGAACGAACTGCTGGAGCATCAAGGAGGGTTATTCAGAAGTTGACATCCAGTGTTGTGAATTGTCAAAGATTAAAAAAAGTTGGAACTTTATGGATATAGAGATGGAGTACTTTTGTGGGTCTGGATCTTTATGGAGATTCAGATTCCAGACAGAAAGTTAACCATGAATCTGACAAAACATCACTGGAGAAACAAAACTCTAAAACAAGAGCGGCCAAAATTTGAAGGAATTCAAGGAATCTGAAGTTCTGAACCATGATTTCGATTAATACCTGAAGAGCGGAGAGGTGCTCCTTGTAGAAATCGTCCACGGCCTCACCAACAAACTTGGATTCGAACTTGGAACAGACCTTGCTATCGACAAGGCAGCTCCTGATCTTGTTCCAGTTCTTGCCGCTGTTCACTCGCTTCTGCAACCAGTTAGAGTAATCTCCGAGCCTGTATTCTTTGTACCCTCTGTTCGCTAAAGTCTCTCCAGCTCCTTTGTTCGTGACGACGAAGGCGAAGACGGTGAAGCAGAAGACGAGCAAGATCAAGACGAACATCACGAAGAGGTAAACCCAGAGAAGCCACGTCACTCTGCAACACGCGCCGACGAGTCCCGCGATGGATACGATCATGAGGAAGACTCCGAGTGCAATCACGGGCTTGTCCAGGAACCGTTCGCACTCGGTCGAACCCTTTTGGCTGAGCCAGATTCCTCCGGCGAGGATCGGAATCGAGAGGAGGAAGATGACGAAGTTTAGGATTCCGACAAGGTTGTTGCTACAGCGAGCCATGGTTTAGTTTTCTCTGAGTTGTGTATGACCAAACCCTTGTTTGGGTGCCGAGAAAATCCGATGGAGGTGAGAAAAAAATCAAACCTTGGCGAATACCCAGATAAGAAAATCGACGAAAAACAAAACCCAGGAAGAGATCGGCCTGAGAAAATCAACAAAAAATCAGAAAAATCGGAACTCTGCCAATTCCTATGCGAGAAACCGGATGAAACTAGAGAGGAAATCACTGAAACGGACAGTGATTGATGAGAAGAATTTATACAGTGAGAAATGAAACGCGTAGAAGAAATCGGAGAGGTTGCAGAGAAAGTTCCTTCAACTTCAATGGCAGTTGTTGAGCCTTGAAGGACTGTTTATATGGTAACGCCATAAAGTCCACGCGCTTTTGAGCGAGTGATTGAGAATTTCTTTACGATTGCGACTATTAATTTACAAGCTTTAGATATTTATTTCATTAGTTGTGATTTCTCTTATTGCGTGGAAATTTGGAAATGCTTTTGAAAGTCAATATCGGTTTACTAGTATTATCTGATTATTTAATTACCATAATGAAAAGGAATAATTGTTATTTATTTCTGTTTGGAATTAATTAATTAATATCTTACGACAAAAAAAACAGTGTAATATGCACACTTTGCTCTCTTCCTGGATAAAACAATATTTATTTTCTGGTTGTAATGTAACAGTATTTATTTATATTGGCCTATTGGTTCATGTTATTACTTTATTACCACGATCAAATTTAATTTAAGAGAGTGCGAAATTCATAAACTGACTTAAATATAATTTCGAGAAGTGAAAGAATGATAAATTAGTGTAATTACTTAAAATGTCATGGTATAAAAAAATATCATGACTTAACATTAGTAGATTATTTTGGTAGTCAGAGGAAAAATGATCCATGTACAGAAAATACAACAAATATATTTTAAAATTTTTTATATGTTGTATTATATTATTTATTTTAAATATCAATTCATTGTGATAAAAAGTATCGGTAGGAGAACAATGTCCAAGCAAAATTTGGTACATATTGAACATGTTTTATTTTTCTTGTCGCAGTTGATAAAAGACAAATCTAACAAATTGACGTGCGATAATCGCAACAATTCATTTCAAATTGTTTAATTATATTATCCTATCATTAATATGTCACACGAATATCCATTTCACCTATTTTATTTTTTTGTGATCGCCCATGATTTTATACAAACTATATTTTCTACGAAATAAAATCGATTCCCTCGGTGTAACGAGACCGAATCCACCGCGTCTACGTCACGGAAGTCGGTGGAGCACTGACACGTGTCACGTTAGTGAGAGAAAGCTGACCGTTGACTCGCGTGTTTATCCACGCGCCTGTACTCATTTTCTTAAAATAATTTAATATCTATTTCATTGGTTTTGCAATCTATTAAGGTCATTTACAAGAAAATTTTAGGGGTTATCAGTTAAGTGTGACAAAAAGATATGGTATTTTGTATGACAAAATAGTTATGACCTTTGTAAACTATATTTTTTTATAAATTTTTGACAAAATTACTTTTACTTTATTGTATAATTTTAATATTATCATTTAGCGTCCCAATAAATGTGCAATATAAAAAGCAGATTTTTTTAGAAACCGTGTAATGCGGGAGAGTTGTTTTTGATCCGGGAGAGACTGATTTTATCCGGGAGAACTGTTTTTTATCCGGGAGAACTGTTTTTCATCCGGAAGAACTGTTTTTCGTCCGGAAGAATTGTTTTTCATCCGGGAGAGTCTGTTTTTTGTTCGGGAGAACTGTTTTTTATCCGGGAGAGTCTGTTTTTTATCCGGGAGAGTCTGTTTTTTATCCGGAAGAATTTTTTTTGTTCGGGAGAGTTTGTTTTTATCCGGAAGAATCTTTTTTTTGTCCGGAAGAATCTTTTTTTGTCCGGGAGGATTGTTTTTTGTCCGGAAAAATCTGTTTTTGTTCGGAAAAGTTTGTTTTTTTTTTTGTCCGGAAGAACTGTTTTTTTCGAGGGAGTTGTTTTTCGTTCGGAAGTGTATGTTTTTGGTCCGAATGAAAAATAGTTCTTACGCATAAAAAAAATTATTATTTTATATAAAAAACATTTTTTCTCCTATGAAAACAATTTTCTAAAAAAAAAGTATTTTCCCAAACAAAAATAGACTTTTTCAGATAAAAATACATTTTTTTCGGATAAAAAAAAAATCTTTTTCGAATGAAAAAATAATTTTTTCGGACGAGAACAAGTTCTTTTTGATAAAAAAAATTATTTTTTTCGTATACAAAAACAGTTAAACCAAATAAAAACAGATTCTCACAGATAAAAAATAATTATTCCGGATGAAAAAAAAACAGTTTTCCGAGATAATCTGAATAAAATATATTTTTTATGCTGTAATTTTTTTGAATAATGACAATATTGAAATTATACAATAAAGTAAGGGTATTTTTGTCAAAAAATTATAAAAATGTATAGTCTGTAAAGGAAGAAAAAAAAAGTATAGATTTGTAATGACGTGACGTTTTTGGATACTGGTGCAAATTTTCCTAAAATTTTATATATGTCTGATGCAATATAATTTACAAGACGTTCTAAAGAATCTAAACAACAAAAAAAAAACAATTTGCAATATATTTAATCTTTAAAAGGTGGCAGCAAACGGTAATCTCCCATAATTATCAGGCATGGATTAAGTTTTTAACATTTATACGTTAATACAATTAATAGACCTCCAACTTCGTCATAAATCGACGTCATCACAGATAAAAAATAATTATTCCGGATGAAAAAAAAACAGTTTTCCGAGATAATCTGAATAAAATATATTTTTTATGCTGTAATTTTTTTGAATAATGACAATATTGAAATTATACAATAAAGTAAGGGTATTTTTGTCAAAAAATTATAAAAATGTATAGTCTGTAAAGGAAGAAAAAAAAAGTATAGATTTGTAATGACGTGACGTTTTTGGATACTGGTGCAAATTTTCCTAAAATTTTATATATGTCTGATGCAATATAATTTACAAGACGTTCTAAAGAATCTAAACAACAAAAAAAAAACAATTTGCAATATATTTAATCTTTAAAAGGTGGCAGCAAACGGTAATCTCCCATAATTATCAGGCATGGATTAAGTTTTTAACATTTATACGTTAATACAATTAATAGACCTCCAACTTCGTCATAAATCGACGTCATTAACGTTTAAAAATTAGCTATTAGTCATTAATAGTTAGACATAAAACCAAATAATATAATTTTTCTTTTTTTTCTGCAATATACATAATTTTATTCTAAGGCTGAAAGTCATTTCCGTAGAGACGTTACAAATTGAATTTCCGTACTTTGTATTTTGTACAGTTTTGGACAAATCCGAAAATGATGAATTCCACATGCAAAGATAAAAAGATAAATTATATACCTAAACGTGTTTATCACAGAGAAATCCGTATCACCTTCGTCTTTATTCCCTTTTTCAATTTATAATTTTCTCAAAGAATATATATATATATATATTATAACAGAAAAAATCTCATATCAATCGGAGAATAACAAATACCCTCTACATCAAATTGTGAATTCGATTTCTTTGGAGGTTTGAGTTTCTCTTTGGATCGGTCAGTTTCGACTGGTTTATCTGATCCGCGTGATTTGTCAGCTATTGCGTGAAATCGGAAGGTTTACTATCCGAAATATTATCCGATCCGCGGGGTCGAAAGGTGTCCACCATTATCAAATGTATATATATATTATCATTAATCACCTTCCGAATATATATTCACACCAAACAAACCTTTAGTCGGGTGTACATCCATCTTATTCACTATTCAATTTCCGATTAATGCTAATGATTGTTATTAAATTATATATGTTTTGAATAAGATGACAGATTAATATTGGAGTTATAAAATCAGCATTCTAGAATAGTATAATAATATGCTGTTTAAATATTTTTTAAATAAAAATTAATTTTAACAAGGTCTTTGATTAGAACAAGAATTTTACTTATACTTTTAGAATATTTTGAAATTAATAGAATAATGACATTTTAGATGGAATATTTTTTTTTAAAATTGACCGGTCCAAAAATAATCATGGTTAAAAAAAAGGATTACACCCTTCACGGTATATGATTACTACTAATCTATGTTTTCAACATTTATTTTCTTTTAAATTGAATGTCAGTCCAACATTGTATCGCATGTTAAAAAATATATTCGTTAAAAGAGCGGATCAAGTTCGTAATATCATAAAAAAAAAACACTTTATTTCATCAGTCGACATTAATTAATCGACTTACATAATCAAGAAAAAGAAAGTAAACAAAACACACACACACATATATATATATATGATCATCTTCTTGTCATTTAATTTTCCAAAGACACTGGAGCACCGATCTTGGATCCGACTTCGGAAACACAAGTGTTCCAAATCTTCTTGCTCCTGGGGATCCCTTCTGCTTTCCTTGCCTTCAACTCATCGGTCGAAAGCACGATGCTGGAGAGTGCCACGTGGCATTTCATCCCCATCTTCAGGAGCTTCTCGCAGCACGGCGCCGACACGTGAGTAGAGTCCCCAAACATGTGGCTGAATATCTCTTCTCCGCACGGCTCGTCCAATTTCGCGACACAGCTCTTGAGCAGTCCGATGAATTCCGGGCTCGCCACCGGTGTGCCGGGACTCGGCGCTGGCTCGGTGCCGTCGATGTAGAGATCGGGAGAGAATGCTTCGCTGTCGTGCGGGGCCGAGGCCGGAACGTAGATGTAACCGGTCAAGGGGTCGACGATTTCGTATCCGGCGACCGAGGGGATTAGGGTTTGGATCATGAGTGTTGCCGCGAGGAGCGAGCCGACGACGTTGAAGAGTGTCTTCGCCATTCTATTGTTTTTTTTTTTAGGGTTTTTCTTTTTTACTTTTGCTTTATTTTTCTTGTTTTTGGTTGATGGTTTTCGTGATGGGGGAGGGATATGGTTTTATAGTGTTTTGGGAACGTACGTTATTTTGCATTTATGAAAGATGAAACCCTTACTATTAGAATGTGGTTAACGTTTTGCAAATCATAAATAATATGACGTTATGCTTTGCTCATTAATCAAAAACTCGTTTCATTATGGAACCCTAGCTAGCTTTTATGTCGCACCACCAACGCTTACGCATCATCATGCATGTGCGTGACCTCTCCCAAAAAAGTTTTTAAAAAAAAACTTTACATGTGGATAATGGTAGAGAATCTTACGGCTGTGGGTGATTTATTTAGTTAATAGCAGGATAATCGAACCTATTTGACCGAGTAATACATGTAATCAAACCAAATGCGATATAGACATTAAATTGTCATAATTTTTCTAAAATCGAAACAATTGCATCCGAACGGAAACGTGGTCCAATGGTTGAGATGTGATAAAGTTTATGCCAATGGTCGAGAGATATTAAGTGGGTTGAAAACCCAACGGAGCTTGTGATTATCAGAAAAATTTCTAAAATTAAAATAATTGAACCGGAATATAAGTTAACTAACGACCAAAACTCAAATAAATGAATATAACATGGAATATGTACTCTTCGAACTGTCCAAAAATGGGTTGGGCCTGCAATGGGTTTGAGCTCAATACAACAAAACAACCCTAACACTCCCATTTATTTGAATTTTTGTATTAAATATTTATTGGTCTCACCATGTCCTGACCGTGGATAATCGATCGGAGATATCCCACGACATGTAATGATTTATATTTCCTCATCTTCAACCATAATATTACACATTTGACTTATTCACGAAGGATTATTCAAATACCATTGACATATTCATCTGAAAATTCATAACCCTGTGGTTTTGGTTTTCACGATTTTGTCGGCGTGTGGTAGCCTGCACATAATTATAAACAAATAACATTTATATGGTCAAACAATTTATCTTTTGCACGTTGGAAAGGATAAATTAAATAAAAATTTCTACGAGTTTTCATAATTATGTTTTAATATTTTTCTTTTAATTATATCAAGTCTTTTGATGTGTATGAGACATTGAGAATACAATCTCATTGAGCTACATATTTTACGAATGGGTTTTATATTTCCAATGGTCATATTGCGGTGACCCCATGGCGATACGTTATATTTATTAAAGTATAAGGAATGTAATATTTTCAGATTATTTCCAAAGATAAGAATCGTTTTGATTGGTGCATAGATGTAAAATATTAATTGAAACAAATTTCAAATTTTAAAATCCAGAATTATTAGGAACTAATGATAATGATAGGGATAATAAAGATTTGAGTAAAAATAATAAATGAATTAATAGAGATTTTGTGAAAATCGTATACTCATTTGTGTCGGCAGGGGGGTGACGTGGCATTTGTATATTTTTTTTTGTTATTACAGCTGGACCATGGATTAGGACTGAAGCATTATTCTGTCTTGACGAATCCAACGGCTACCGTACACCTTTTAAATGTCTTTTTCCTTTTTTCAAAGCGTTTGCCATTGGGCCCACAGGCCCAAGTCCCTTTTTACTACCACTCCAGCTGTCTTTGCTCCCTGGTCCCATTCTTATCTAATAATTAAACCTTATTTAAATAACTTTAAATAAATAAATAACTACAGTTTGGTGGTAAATTGATATGAATCGAGAAAACAAAAATTTCAACGGAAACATTACAATTTTAATTTACTTACAAAAAAAAAGATTGTAATAAAAATTGGTAAATTAAAGAAACATAAAATGTAAAAGATAATGATGATGAGGCTCTCTTTCGGGTTTGGCCTCTTCTTGGAGAAAAGTATTTTATGTGTCGCTTTTCTTTTCTTTTTTTTTTTCTAAGAAAATAAATCGAGTTGCGAAGAACAAAGCAACCCGGAAAAAAAAAGAACAAAAAGGAAAAATAAAATTCCGTTAAATTTCAAAGTTAATGTACACTTTTGCCCTTACTGTTGTTGTTGTATCCATAATAAGAAAGGTACCATCTAACGAATTTCTTCAAACCGGTTTGCAAATCGGTAGTCGGTTTATACCCGAAAGCTAACCGGGCCGAGCTAATGTTCGCGTGAGTGAACGGGACGTCTCCGTTTCCGGGCATTTCCACGTAGTTCCTCTTCGCCTTCACCTTGAGATGCTTCTCCAAAATATCTACCAGTATCGGAACCGTAACCGGAGACGTGTTCCCCAAATTAAAAATCCGGTACGGAGCCGACCCGCGTTTCTTCCCACCCGAACCGGTACTCTTACCCGAGGTATCCAGCGAACCCAAACACCCTTTTACAATATCGTCGATGAAGGTGAAATCTCGTGCTAAATCGACCCGGTTCTTACCCCGGTATATCGTAATCGGTTTACCTTGGAGAATATTCCGGCTGAAGGAAAAGTACGCCATGTCCGGTCTACCCCAAGGTCCGTAAACCGTGAAGAACCGTAAACCGGTGATGGCAAGACCGTAAATATGGTTGTAAGTGTGGGTGATTTCCTCGCCGGCTTTCTTCGTCGCGGCGTAGAGACTCGCCGGCTGATCCGTACGATCGGACTCCGAGAACGGGGACTTGTCGTTGAGTCCGTACACGGAGCTCGACGAAGCCCAGACGATCGACGGTTGCGGATTCGCCGATTTGCAGATCTCGAGCAGATTCACGAGCCCGGCGATGTTGCTGTGAACGTACGACTGCGGATTCTCCATCGCGTACCGTACACCGGCCTGAGCCGCGAGATGCATCACGTGGGTGAAGGCGACGACATCGAAAAGCTTGGCTAGGAGCTTAGAATCGTTCAGATCTCCTTCCACGACGAAGATCCCTCGGCTGGAGAGGAGAGATCTTCGCGCTCGTTTCAACGATGGGTCGTAGTAATTGTTGAAATTGTCGAGACCCACGGCGCCATCGCCGCGTTTCTTCAGGGCGAGAGACACGTGGCTACCGACGAAACCAGCGGCGCCGGTGACGAGGACGGAAATTCCGCCGGAGCGGTGGATCTCGGCGGATGTACGGACCTGCTTTTCCCACTGGATACCGCCCCAAGAGGCGGAGAGATATTTGCTACCGGAGTCGACGAAGCTCTGGAAACTCAAATACGACGCCGTTAGGGCGATGAGGAAGAGAGCCCAGAGGAACATCGTGCTCGTGGAGGCGAAGCATCGGTGGAGCTGACGGTTTGACCGGTCAATCTTGAATTTCCCCGGCGTTGACGGAAACAGCTCATCCTCTAACGACGGCATCTTTCTCCGTTAAACAGACTCCTTTTTTCTCGTTTTCTGGTTTTTCACCACTGAAATTTTCCGGGAAATTTTTTTTTTTCTGACGATGGAGAAGAACTCGCTGGGTTTGATAAGAAGCAGATGCAATTTTTTTTTTTTTTTTTTTTTTGGTTTTGAAAGCGTCTGCTAAGGAGAAGAGGAAGAGATGGAGGAATATATATAGTGGTAACCCACACACCGAAGAAGGACAAGTAGACGCGTGAACGCGTTAATTGACGGCCAGATTGGCAATTTTAGGCAAAATTAAATCCATCACTAAATGGCAAAAAAGACAGTCATAAATAAACATTTTACTAATTACACCGGAATCTAAGGGGAAACTTTTTTTAAAAAAAAACTAAAAAGATTATTTATTTATTTGTTTGTTGTGATGAAATCTTTCTGGAAGTAGACAGTGAACATTGACAACACTTCCTATGGATTCATGAATGTATGATTGTTCAAGATACGTTCATAAATATTACTATATAGCAATCGATTACTATAAGAACACATCTGAATTGAATGTCCATCAGATCAGTAGATTTAATTTACGAAATAAATTTGATCTAAATTCTGTATACTAGGAAATATAAAGATCGAATTAAATTAAAAAAAGTTAACCAAATCAACATATAAGTAAAATCCAATCTGTGTAAAACAAAAAATCCCAGTTTGTGCAGAAACCGGCAAAAATATTGACACATTCAATCGAAGAAGTAAAAGGAAAGAATTCGAGGAAATGCGGATTAATTGTTGAAAGGAATTTTGGTAAAAGAATTTAGATTGTTCGTATCTATTAAAAATAAAAATGTATTTTGCTATTAAAATAAATATATTTAAATTATATGGATCATTATCCCAAACATAAGCAAAAAAATATTCAGACAACTAAGAAAGCCAAGGAGATTTGGTAGTTGTAACTTAGACGTCCAGTTTAAGCAAAGTGATTAGACATCATAGTTGGGATTAATTATTACTGATGTTGTAAGATTTCGACTAATCGGTCAACTTCCAACATGCGAGTGCTCGATTGCTTGTTTTCTTTATTTAATTTAATTTATCAAGTCTTATTAAAATAAATATATTTTTTATTTTATTTTTTACGGGATAATGATAAGAACGTGGGGACCATTGTCATTGGCTGTTTCCGGGAAAGCGAGGGAAGGCAGAAAAAAACTGCGTGCCGTTTTCACGTATTTAGCAGAAATCACGGTTTTATCACAAAACGACTGGGCTACCGCTACCGGATACCGGAAGAACCGGAGGAGACCTCAGTTTAGAGGATTTCTAAGCACCGGTGATAGCCGGTAAACACGGGTTTTGTGCTCCAGAATTGAGCGGTGCTCATCCACCCACGACTCTTTTTTTCCCCCACTTTCTTATGATTTGACACAAATTTTGTGTTGTAAGACTTTTTTTTTTACTTCCTGTATCAAGAACAAGAATTTTGAGATATATAATTCTATTTTTTCAGCTTTGAATCTTTGAATTATGAATTCGATTTTAGATTCGATCCTTTTATAATTTATAATTTTGTAGTCTGATTATAAATTATTAACTCAACTCCATTCCTCACGTCACCAATCACCATGCGAGAATCCGATTTGACAACCCTAATCTTTCGAATTAAATTTAATATAATAATTTTTTCGAATCCTAAATAATTAAAAAATTTTATCAATTTTCGTTTTTTTGTTTGTGAACTTAAATCGAACATTTATACAACACGTTATAATTTTTTTTGTTATGTTTGATATTTTTGTGTTATCTAATTTATTTTATTTTGTGACTAGTTTTAGATTTTTGTTTCGTTTTATATCTGAATGATTTTTTGTTTAATTTTCTTGAAAATATATAATACGTATTTAAAAAAAAACCCTATCTTTATCTTGAAGAGATCGTATTCCTTTTTGTGTAATAAGATTTATTGGTACAGCTTGTTTGCTCCTCTGGAGATTCTGTATTTCTGTTCTCTAGAATTGGCCCATCTTGCAAATTATTTATTCATATAATAAATTTCCAATTAAAGGGCTTGAGGTTACAAGTCAAAGTGAAGATGATTAGTCAATATTACCTCATTAATCATCATTAAATTATAAAATTATATCACTGAGTCGGCAATTTTTTTGGATTAACGTTTAAATACAATTCTTCAAATATTAATTTCTAACACCAATCATTGCGAACTCCACCAACAATTATAAGTGCTTAGTTTTGTTGGATTTACAGATGTGAAAAACGCAAAGTTATTATAACATACCATCTTTCCCAATTATTTCTCATATGTTTCATAATTCATGCAAATGATAAGTTTTTTTCTCGACTATTTTCAGGGTTTATATAAGACAACAATTAGGGTCAGTGAAAAAATTTATTAACTATTAACTATTTGAAATTAAATCAATTAAAGTTCTATAAAACGTTCCTTATTTACGACAATAATTTTAAATTTTTATACCAATACCAATTAAAACTTTTTTTCAGTATATTTCAATTTAATAAAAACTAATTAGACTTCAAATAAAAAACAATTAAATTGGTGGCTACTCTATTTTTTTTTTTTTTACAAAATTTCAATTATGAAGCGGTAACTTTAAACCTTGCATCAAATTATTATTATTATAGACTATATTTCAAAAACAAAGAAAATGAAATGATAGAAATAATCATAAATTTTTTTTTTGGTAAAGATAAAATTATTATTATTGTTGAAGTACTTACGCTAATGGAGTGTTTGGTAATGGCTTCACAAACCAATCAGTTTATAGGGAGAATTCTCCACCAGAATGTTAATGACTATTCTATTTTATGTTGATAGATTTGATTTCGATATAATCATCAATATTTTAATTCTGTTTTCTTTAATAAAACCAAAACCAAATGCAATTTATTACAATTAATATATTCTAAAACCCAACCCTCACAACATGTATTTATTTTTATAAAACAAGTAGTAGCAACAGTAGTAGCGTTTTCACAAGAAAATGACATTTAACATTTCACACGGACAACGTTACAGGGCATAAGACACTGAAGTAACCGTAACTTGCATGGATGATTTCTTCAACCTAACCATAATTTATTTCAACATACATACATATATATGTATAACACAAATTCGTAGTATTCTTTTTTTGAATGGACCGAATTTAGGGTTTTAGTTACCACCGTTCGAACCAGATCCAGCTCTTGACCCGGCAAAAGATCCTGCGGATGAACCAGCCTCTGAACCGGATGAGCCACGCGAACCACTAGAGCTAGAACTCGATGATGAGCTAGAGCTAGAGGATGAACTAGATCCCGAACCCGAACCCGAACCTGCACCGGCTCCCGAGCCCGAGCCGCCACCACCTAGACCGATGCCCAACCCAACGCCTAACCCGACCCCGATCCCGCCAAGATCGATTCCCAAATCCTTTCTTGCGACCCGACTTTCGGTTAACATGATCAAACTCGAAACCAACAAAGCGGTAAGAATTAAACCTTGGAACCTAGCCATTTTGGAATTACCCTCTTTGTTGCAAGAATTGTTTTCCTCTTATGATTGTTTTTAAGGTTTTGTTCTTGTCTTAAACCCGATGAAATGTTAGGGTATTTATAGTAGAAGCTCGGGGTATAGAGTGAGCGATGATGAGGCATACACCACACCACACCAATACAAACCTTTTGATAGACGAAGTGCGACCACATGTTGAATTTGGTAATTCGTATATAATCTTGTTTTATTTTATCGACTAGTGCTTTATTAATGGGCTTAATCGGCATATAACTTACAAAATATTTTATAATTATTAAATATAATGTGCAAATTAAAGTGGAGTTTCGTGCATGTGAAAATTTCGGCTACCGCCCCACTAGACCACACCCACCACCACCAAGTTTGGTGGAAGTGAGAATGCAGTAGTGGATTATACACGGTGAGACCAATCATAATTAAATTTGGTCACTAATTTAAATAAATAATATTTATGTTTGTTTCTGTCTGCATTTACACGTGATCATATAAAATTCAACGCAATCGAACATATAAACAAATCAAGTGAAATTCATTCTTTTATCGTTAGGATTCAACCCTCTGAAAATTTACATATTTTTTATAGAATAATATGGATTATAATCGATAAATTCGAGATAGAAATAAATGTTCCTATACAAGTAATCCATGTGATGACTCATTAATTTAAATCTTATCATATGTTTTCTGTTCATAAGTGGAAGATAGTAAACGTTTTCCTGCGGGATGTGGCTGTCTTATGTACTCATAATATTTAACGTTAACGGAATTATTTCATTCGATAAAGCTTGTGATTGTATATTCAGACGATGTAGTGATGATCATCCAACATTTCTTTTGTAAAGGGTACGTTATATCTAGGGGTGTAAAATGGGCGGGTCGGGCCGGGTTCGGGTCGGGTTTAGTTCGGGCTTAGATTTTTTCGGGTCGGGCCGACCCGCCCATTTATTTTTCGAATCTATGATCGGTGGCCCGAAGCCCGGCTTTATAGGACTTCGCGCAGCTTCGGGTTTTTTTCTATTTAATAAAAAAAAGTATTAATATATAATAATAATAATAATAATAATAATAATAATTTAACAATTAAAAAAACAATAGCAAATTTTCGTCTATATCAATTATAATTAAAAAAATTAAAATCTAAAAAATAATCATGTAAAATTTAAAATATATAAATTATATAATATTTTTAATATATATAATATATGAAAAATATAGTCTTGTT